ACGGCACTAAGCCTCGTCCATCAGCTTCAGTCTAGCATCCAAACCAAAGATGGAACACCAAGAAAACTAACAAATGTTCTTAATTTCTTGACTTTTGGTTGTTCTCTGGTTTGAAAGTGAATGAGGACGGGGTGAGCATGAAACAGTCTCTATGGGCGTGGTGAGAGAGCGGTATACGTCTGGTAGGCACGTCATGGGAGTGTGGTGAGATGTATCCTGGCTTGACAGCTAACCACAAGATCTTGACTGAAGCGCACTAGGCGTAGTAAGCACTTGGTGTGGTCGTGGCAGGAGCATGATGGGTGCACGTCAATTTCTTGCCACACTTATTTACGGAAGTCCCACACTGCTGTTACGCTCTCTTTGCCTTCATGCCAGGAGACTGAATAGGCTTTTCCTTCCCAGGAAAATCGATATCAACTAAGTGGTCATCTCGGATGAGGAATTTTCATTGTTGGATAATAAACCAAATGGGTATGACTCTGTGCTGGCTTTCAGGAATGTGCAGCTAATAGCCTACGTAGCAGAATTGGAATCAGAAACCTGTAAATAACAACGACAAGTAAATAAATGATTATAATATGTTTAGAAAACATTCCGCCATCTTGCAAATATGCTAAATTAAAGAACATACAATCACTTTACACATTTGCATATGGCAGAAATCTGCGCCCCGAAAACATATATAATGACATCAAAGACGACTACTTAATCAAAATCAGCACATTGTCCAATTTTTCCTCCACAAGTGGCAGCAATGTTGGAAATATGCTAAATATGTGAACATGTGATCATTTTACATGGTTGTAAATGTCAGAAATGGAAGCTGTGACCCCGTAAACATATATAGTGACACCAAACACTACTACTTAATCAAAATCTGCACATCGTTCCATTTTCCCGCCAAGCCGCCATCTTGGAAATATGCTAAGTATGTGAACATGTGTTCATTTCGCAAGATTACAACTGTCAGAAATGGAAACACAACTACTTGATCAAAATCTTCACATTGTCGTATTTTCCCACCAAAAATGGCCGCCATCTTGGAAATACATGTATCTTCATGAATATAGAATGTAGTCATGACCCCTGTAAATACTTATACAGTGCCAAAACACAATATGTCGATAACATTATAAATAAGCTGAAAACAAAATATAACTATAAGTTGGAATATTATCGCAAAATGACTGCCTTTCAAATAATGGCGTCCCTTACTATGGATCTACTCAGAAAAAATGTCAACATCAGAACCTACAAAATAGAACTTGTTCCATGATTTCTACCCAAAAAGCTGACAGATTTACGTTAAGGATTGGACTACTAGGTGGGTAATGGGTCACGCTAGGCCATACATAAATATAGTGGGACACTAGGTTGGTCATGGATCACAATAGGTCCCGCATAAGACTTGTGGGGCACAAAGTGAAACAAGGGCCATAACTCTAGATGTAATCAACGGAAATTGCTGAAATTCAAGAGGCTTCTTTGTTTTAACTAATTTAAATGATGCATATAAATTTCATACAGATTGGATAATAACTTTTGTCGTTAGAGCGTTCACAAGATTCAACAAAGTGAAACAAGGGCCATAACTCTAGATGTAATTAACGGAAATTGCTGAAATTCAATAGGCTTCTTTGTTTTCCTAATTTAAATGATACATATAAAGTGAAACAAGGGCCATAACTCTAGATGTAATTAACGGAAATTGCTGAAATTCAATAGGCTTCTTTGTTTTCCTAATTTAAATGATACATATAAATTTCATACAGTTGACTTATATCTTTAATTGCCACTTTAACTCTGTGCAGTGATGAAGTTTTAATGGTTATTATCAAAATTGTTGACTTTTCATGTTGGTTTTAAAATAACTTCTAAATGACCTTAACTCCTCAAACGTGTCTATAATTTATAGTGACTATATTCATTTTGGATGTACATTGACCATTGTATTGTTCTTATTTTATTTTGCTGCCAAAATGAGAACAAAATAGTTAATACGCTTCACGAATTGGAATATTGGGTTTTGACAATCAGATTAAAATTATTTCTGAAAGACTTAGACCCCTCATATTTGTCATTTGAGATCAACTCTTAAAGGACAATATTGGTGTCAGTCATTATTACCTATGTGATAGAACTGGTTAAATACATTCCAAATATAATTTTAACACAGAGATCATTGCTACGGGAGACTTGTAACAAGCACGTGAAGAAACAGGAAGTGATGCCAAACATGACAAACACGAGTTGTCCTTCTATATAACAGACTGAAGTAACGAGCGGTAACAGACAAACCATCGAATTTCATTTCACTGATAATTCCGTTGAAGTTGAAAAGTTATTATATACTAATTATTCCTTATACTCTAAGGACGTTCCCTATTGTTTTTGTTGCTGCCCGACCCCTAGGGGCAGAGAGCCAGGCTCAATTTTTGTATACGTCAGTTTGTCACCTACAAGCGACAATTCTTAACAGATTGTTTTGAAGCTGTGCATACTTATTCCTTAAGAATGATCGCTATTGTTTTTGGTGCATGACCAACCCCCAGGGGCAGAGCTACACCTATTTTTTCTTTGTGTGCCTGAGTGTTTTGATCATCTTGAAACTTTTCATAGCTATTCCTTATACCTTATTATGACCGCTCTTATTTTTGGTGCATGCTTGACCCCCAGAAGCACAGCAATGCCCATTTCTTCTATGTTTATCGCCTAGGGGACGCAATTCTGAATGAAGCATCCTGGAAAGTGACAGGCATGCACCAAAAATAATAACAGTCATCCTTTGGATATGAGGAATATATATGAAAAGTTTTCAGGGCGATACATTAAGAATTATCACCTGTAGGCAAAACACACAGACACACAAAGAAAAAACGGGTGTGTCTCTGACCCTGACGGTTGGGCATGCACCAAAAAAACAATTTGGAACATCCTTAGGGTATAAGGAATAAGTATGCAAATTTTCAAAGCCATGCGTTAAGAATTGCGGCCTGTAGTTTTCGGGTGTAACAACATTACTGTTCTTCAACTTTCGAAGCAGACAAAACAGGTTTTCCCCTGTTTTTGAAAGCAAAATTAAATTGAAATGATACTCCCTTTAGCCAAAAGGAGTATATATTTATATTCTACATTAGAAATTGCTCTAAAATGCCAAATATGAGGGACCAAATTCTTTCAAAAGTAATTTTTAATCTGATTGTCAAAGCCCAATATTCCAATTTGTGAAGCGGAATAACCATTTTGTTCTCATTTGGCAGGCAAAATAAAATTAGAACAATACAATGTACATCCAAAATGATTGCTTATTCGTAATCTACTCAAACATTTACTCTGAACAGATACGTTTGAGGGGTATAGGTCATTTAGACATAATTTTAAAATCAACGTAAAATGTCAACAATTTTGATAATAGAACTTCATCACCGCACACAGTTAAAGTGGCAATTAAAGATATAAGTCATGAAATACACAAGATGGACTTCAATGTATGTTATAGTAGGGCCATATACTATAACATATATTTTTTTATAATGTTTTTGGAGTGGGTCATGTTCCCAACTTTCCGAAATTTGTTCTACTATGACCCAGGGATCTTTAACGTGCACGTCAATGTGTACACAGTCCCTCGTTCTTTTTGTGCCATCTGAACGACTGACAACTGTCCTTGTGAGGTCTTCCGTCCTGCATCACTGACAAGGGGGAACCAAGCCGGAAAATCTTGATGAACTTTCTCACCATATCTCAGCAAGTTTTCGACCTAGAGAGGTATAATTTTGGATTTGTTAGTTTAAGGCCATATACTATAACATATTTTTTTTATGTTTTTGGAGTGGGTCATGTTCCCAACTTTCCGATATTGTTCCACTATGACTCAGGGATCTTTAACGTGCACGCCAATGTGTACACGGTTCCTCGTTTTTTTTTGTGCCATCTGAACGACTGACAGCTGTCCTTGTCAGGTCCTCCGTCCTGCATCACTGACAAGGGGGAACCACGCCGGAAAATCTTGATGAACTTTCTCGGCCAATGCAGGGAGCCAGCGTATTACCCACCGTGACACTGGCAAAGCACGTTCGCAAACGGGTCTGTGGATGAACTCACCGCCTGCTATTTAGAGCCACGAAAGTATCAAAACCTTATACAGCAGCCAAAAAAAGACATATGTCTGTTTCCGTGTTGATAGGGGGCCCAGTTGTGGAAATATGGGCTTTTAATGTTACCCTACTTACCTTAATTTAAATTTTATAGACTCAATAATCAGGTGAATTGATCAACTTTCAAAATCAGCTTTGGCCGTAGTACACTGGATTATATATGCAATCAGCTAATACCTCAAATTATTTATTTTCTAATTTTGCCTGAAAGCTGATGACACAATCGACACTCATTTGTGGACTGTGACACACAGACCATCAGTAGTGGAATATGAAAAACAGTAGCAGATTGGGACACACAGGACATCAGTGGTGGAAAGGGTCACAGACCATCATTGGCGTATTGCTTGGGCCACATAGGCCATCAGTGGTGGAAAGGGCCATAGGCCATCAATAGCATACTGGGCCACACAGGCCATCAGCAGTGGACTGGGCCACAAGGGCCATCAGCAGTGGGCTGGACAACAGACCATCAGTAGTGGACTTGGACACATACCACCAGTGGAGGAATGAACCACAAACCATCACTGGTTTACTGGGGTACACACAAACCATCAGAAATATGTTTTCATAAAGGATGATGTTTGAAAATGGTGTGATAGTCATGTGTGCGGAATTTCTTGAAGATATTTGCCAATAAAGATTTGAGTTGAGGAAGATCATTGAGCACAAAAATGAAAAAAAGTACACTGTAATATTTATACACAATAGTTCGCCTTGATAATTTAGAAGGGGTTTATTGTTCATTCGAACACACTTTTCGACCAATCAGAATCAAGGAAATTTCTAATTTGTGCTACAATATATTTTTAATCATGTATTAAAATGTTGAAAACTTACTTTAGTTAATTTTTTAGTGCGTAGTCCAGCTTGTTGACAGACAGTTTCTAAATCTTCATGCCATTCTAAACCTGCTTTCTGACATTGTAATAGCTGTAAATATAGTCAATTTTATTAAACTACCTATTCAAATCTACACTAATAAGAAAAGTCTGAGAAAAATGACGACAACAACCTTTTTCACATATCTGTGCATCTACCACAGATCTTGCTGTTTTTACAGTAAAAGAAATTTGTGCCAGCTTTTCTGATCCTGGATTTCAAATCTAGCACAAAAAAGAATGTTCAGGCAATATTTTAGAGGGGAGAACAAAATCTCAATGCCTACCTTTTCATAAACTGTGTCTGCATTCTGAATAACATTTTTACAGTCAGAAATTAACTACAAAATAAGATCATCAAAATAAATTGAGCAAACAATAGATATATGCAAAAGAAAAACATGTAGTGAGAGCATGGCCGGGATATATTATAAATAGATAGAAAATTTTGATCTTTTAGCTATTCACTGTATCATATAATAGTTATATAAATAAATACTTACATCTTCAAATGACATGAGTGCTTTACGCAGAATATCTGGTAAATTACCTTGAGCTTCTAAACAAGGGTACTGAAATAAATATTGTATAATTTCTACCACATTCAAACAAAAGGCTAGGTGAGTACCACTATCTATTTAGCAGGCTCAGTTGATAAATATATATCAACATGTTTATTATTCTAGAAATAACTAAACATCTCTTAAACAATCGAGATTAACACCTGAGAAAGAAAAAGATAATTGAATAGTTGTGGAGAAAGAAAAGGCTCATACTTCTACAACACCAGGCAAATTGACTAGAAATGAATGAAATCCAATTAAGACTATAAATTATTACCTCTCCTTTCATGACATAGGTTAATGATGACTGTTCACCAGTATTGGCTATTCTAGTTGCCAATAGACGAATACATTGTTTAATATTAGCTATAGGTGCTAGACCACATGTCTCTTTAAATGCAGCTAATGATATCTGTACATCATCTCTTAAATCTGTTCCATCTCTCAGTGGCTGAACAGCTGCCTAAAAAATCATTTTCACTTTCCTTGTATTGAAATCATTATAATTACTAAAGTCTAGCATAATTACGATTGTATTGTTTTCGTAAGTGTTTTTATTATTTTTTTTTGGGGGGGGGGGGATTAGTCAGAGTTTGGAGACAAAATTGTGCGTTGTGCAAACATTCTGCCAATATAGATGTGGTTGGCCTCCATGGATGTATTTATTAAATACAACCTGGGTCATTTTTGACAATCAGGAAGTGTTTTTACGGATGGGATCGTCTTCGGGTTTTCATTTTTGAATTCTTTGGACGAATCCCATAATAGGCTCTGACTGACAGTTTATCGAAATTCAGAAGTTCGCTCGATTAATATCAGCATCAAAGATTTGCAAAAGTTTTCCTCATTATTTTTTCAGCATTCAAGATGACGTATCCCCGTAACTATTTGTTGTATAAGTTGAAACTTAGTAAGAATAAGGGAAACATCGATGCCTTCAAAATGGCATATTAAAAAATTACCGAGGCCTTCCGATTTTCCCTGAACATGAATAGTTCTTTCCATTTTAAAGATATGTTGCCAGACAACGAAACATACACCCACAGCGGCTAAATCGTCCGAGCGGTCAACAAGGGTTGTCGCATATTTATTCCTTTGTAGGTAATTGGGGGACTTTACAAGACAGTTCCATACAGATCAGATTATAATTTTTGCCGTTTGAGGGTTCACACGGTTCTACAAATTGAAACAAGGGTCTCAACTCTGGAAGTAATCTACAGAAATTTTTGAAATTTGACAGGCTTTTTCGTTTCACAAATTTAAATGATGCATATAAATTTCATACATATCGGATGATAACTTTCATCAATAGAGCAATAAAAAGGTTGAACAAAGTTAAACAAGGGCAATAACTCTAGAAGTAATAGAAGGAAATTGCTGAAATTCAATAGGATTCTTCTTTTACTAATTTAAATGACGCATGTAAATTTCATACAGATCGGCAGATAACTTTTGATGTTAGAGCATTCACAAAGTTCAATAAAGTGAAACAAGGGCCATAACTCTAGACGTAATAAACAGAAATTGCTGAAATTCAATACGCTTCTTCGTTTCACTTATTTAAATAATGCATATAAATATCAGAAAGATCGGGTGATAACGTTTGGTGTTAGATCGTTCACAAGGTTCAATAAAGTGAAACAAGGGCCATAACTCTAGACGTAATACACAGAAATTGCTGAAATTCAATACGCTTCTTCGTTTCACTTATTTAAATAATGCATATAAATTTCAGAAAGATAAGATGATAATTTTTGGGGTTAGAGCGTTCACAAGGTTAAACAAGAGCCATAACTCTAAAAGTAGTTAACGGAAATTGCTGAAATTCAATAGGCTTCTTCGTTTCCCCAATTTAAATATTGCATATAAATTTCACAAAGATCGGATGTTAACTTTTGGCATTTAGAGCGTTCACAAGGTTCAACAAAGTGAAACAAGGGCCATAACTCTAGACGTTATAAACGGAAATTATAGAAATTAAATAGTAGGCTTCTTCGTTTCACTAATTTAAATAATGCATAGAAATTTCAGAAAGATTGAATGATAACTTTTGGGGTTAGAGCGTTCACAAGGTTAAACCAGCGGCTGCCAGGCAGGATACGCCCACATTTTCGAGAGATGGATAGAGAACAAGCTAAAAAGAAAGCGATTTTCTGTACAATCAGGGGCCATAATTCAGGAAGTTACAGTCTGATATGCGCAAATATCGAAAGGAACCGAGATCTTTGGGTTATAAACTTACATTTCAAGTTTCAACAAAATCGGATAAAAATTGTGACCTCTATAGGGTCCACAACCTTGATATACCATATTTTTACGCTATTTGAGAACGAACGGCGGCCATTTTGTCTGTCAATTTTGGGGCGATTTTCACAAAATTCAAACTCAATTGTCCTTAGGGTGGAACGGTAATATAATAATACGTTTTTTTAAATCGAATAAAAATTATGACCTCTATAGGGTCCACAAGCTAAAAACGTGTTTTTTTGTACAATCAGGGGCCATAATTCAGGAAGCTACGGTCCGATATGCGCGAATATCGAAAGGAACCGAGATCTTTGGGTTATCAACTTACATTTCAAGTTTCAACAAAATTGGATAAAAATTGTGACCTCTATAGTGTCCACAAGCTAAAAAATGTGGGCGTATAAAAAAAGTGAAACAAGGACCATAACTCTAGAACTAATAAACGGAAATTGCTGAAATTCAATAGGCTTCTTTGTTTCCCTAATTTAAATATTGCATATAAATTACACAAAGATCGGATGTTAACTTTTGGCATTAGAGCATTCACAAGGTTCAACAAAGTGAAACAAGGGCCATAACTCTAGATGTTATAAACGGAAATTATTGAAATTAAATAGGCTTCTTCATCTCACTAATGTAAACAACATATATCAATTTTAAAATAATTGGAAGATAACTTTTGGCGTTAGAGCGTTCACAAGAAATTGTGGACGACAGACGGACGGGGGCGACGACAATATACGTCCACATTTCTATGTGGGCGTGTAAAAATAAATAAAAACTGACATATGACCTTGTTCCATAACATTTTCATCTGCTTGGCCGCCATATTGGATTTTACAAATGGCAACAATTCTTAGGGAGCCGATTTTTAAATTTCAATTTTGTTTACTTAGGGTTTCACAATGAATTTTGTTCAACTTTTCACCTTCTAGATGGTGACCTAACCTTTCAATGAACCTTGTTCTTTGTATGTATGATGACCCTGATGTCCACTAACAATGACCACCCTTCGTTCTCAAATAGCGTAAAAATATGGTATATCAAGGTTGTGGACCCTATAGAGGTCACAATTTTTATCCGATTTTGTTGAAACTTGAAATGCATGTTTATAACCCAAAGATCTTGGTTCCTTTCATACAATCAGGGGCCACAATTCAGGAAGTTATGGTCCGATATGCGCAAATATCAAAAGGAACCAAGATCTTTGGGTTATAAACTTACATTTCAAGTTCCATCAAAATCAGAAGAAAATTGTGACCTCTAGAGGGTCCACAACCTTGATATACCATATTTTTATGCTATTTGAGAACGAAGGGCGGTCATTTTGTCTGTCAGTTTTGGTCCGATTTTCACGAAAATCGAACGCAACCATCCTTAGGGTATAACGGTGATATATTAAAACGTTTTTTTTAAATTGGATAAAAATAATGACCTTTATAGGGCCCACAAGTTAAAAACGCAATTTTTCGTACAATCAGGGGCCATTATTCAGGAACCGAAAGGAACCGAGATCTTTGGGTTATCAACTTACATTTCATCAATAGGGTCCACAAGCTAAAAACGTGATTTTTTGTACAAACAGGGGCCATCATCCATGAAGTTTCGATCCGATACATGCCTATATCGAAAGCAACCGAGATCTTTTGAAGATAAACCTATATTTCAAGTTTCATTGAAATTGGGTAAAAATTGTGACCTGTAGAGAGAGATAGAGAAATGGGGTTTAAGGTCCACTCGACACAAACTAGGTCATTTCGGGACTAACATATGGTTTAATTTTATTTACATAATTCGTTTGCGCATATGGGTCTTTAGCAGTTGGAGGAAACCAGAGGCCCCGGAGAAAACCCACGAGGTTGGACAGGCGACTCTACTCCTTGCCACGTACAAATGGGGATTCCAAACCACGCCAGTCGACTCAATGACAGACTTTGTGATACAGAGCGCGCACGCTAACCATTCAGCCATCCGACCCCCCGTGACCTGTAGAGTGTTCACAAACAATTGTGGACGGACGGACAGGGGCGACGACAATATACGTCCACATGAAAATGTGGGTGTATAAAAATGATAGGTTTTTCACAGGTATCTATGTTACTATACTCAATAATTCATAGTGTAACTTGATTGTTGATGTGCCAAGGCGAGGGGACCTGATGTGACATACCAAAACACTTCAGTAGTCCTCCAGAGTTCTAGTTTTTTGTTTTACTATACTCAAATGAATGAGAGTTCATAGTCAATAATCTTAAATCCCACCAAAATATAAGCTTACTGAAACAATAATGCTAATTCAAAGTGAATTTTTGAAAAAAATAAGTCCTTTTTTCATCTTTCCATTTGACCGATTAGAAAATGTCTAATTTCAAGCTGATGCATCTCTGACTGGTGGAGCCATACATATACTATTTTCTATTTGCTTAAAAAGTTTTGGCAATTGGCTCATTCAATTCATTAGTGTGCGCTGAAATCTTAAATTTGTTATTGTTGTTATCATTGAAGTCTTATATTTCAAAAACTGTCCCAAAGAATTTTAAAAATTCAGTGGGAAGAATGCTGTCAGAACTTCTAGTTGCTGTTATCATTGATCTAAGTCAATAAACGTAGATGCAAATGCAACAACTACATGAGGGGAAGGCTGGTAGTTCCAGCAATTAAATGGAAGAGTCTTTAGACTGACTGACAAAGAATATATACAAACCTTGAAAGTTTCATCAATGGCTTTAACTCCAATATTCTTCATACTGGTATAATCACGAGATCTTTTTGTTTTTTTCACTGACATGCCACGTTTGTACGCCTTCTAGAATAAATGGCCAAATACCAGATCTATTAGTATTTAATGTTCATTCATGTATTATCAAAATTAATTAACAATAATACTTATTTACCCAGAGGCTAGATTAACAAAATTGTTATACAGTAGAATCTGCATTAAGCAGCCACCCAAGGGAATTTTCACGACTGACCGCTTAACGGGAGTGGCCTCTTAATAAAATCTCAGTTTTTTTTTGTGCTGACATCAACTACATTTTACGCTTGGATGCATCGGGAGCAAATACCAATACTTGCATCGGTAAATTTGGCCGTCGGTGAAACTTGCTTGGAACGAAAATTCATTACTCAAATCTCGGACATAACTTGTCATTTTGTACCAACCTTCGATACTACTTCCTATCATTGTGATGCATTCGATAATATTTATCCATTTTTGTGAAGAAAATCAATGAATTAATTTTATTTTATCAAAAAAGCACATGAACAAAAAAAACATCGCTGATTTTGTCACCGATTTACAGGGCGTGTAACTCTGTATGTAATATTATAGGAGGCGCTAAAACGTCTGTTTAACAACAAAGTGGCAATGGAAAAGAGATACTAGATGATTGTGGCAAAACTCGCAGCTTCGTCGGTACTTTTAGTTTATTCAATCAGTATCAAATAATGTTTCGTTACGTGTGAAGAAATGATAAGGTTAGTCGTTTAAAAAAACAAAAGATTATTTAACAGATAATCCCGGGTTTATTGTTATTTTCACATTTCTTTTTACCTGACCAGTGGGGTTCCAGTTAATTAACTACTACTCACGGGATTAGCGAGGGTTTTACGAAGTACGACAAGATGGTATCATTCAACAATGGCCGATGTTTTGTTAAATTTATTAGTAAAATAGTGACCGCTGGCTGTGTTAGAGGAGTGACCGTTGAATAAAGAGATGAAACAATAGAATTTTTACGGGGGGAATTTATCGTGACCGCTTACAAGGAGATGTCGCTGAACAGGAGTGGCTGCTCATACAGATTCTACTGGATCATTAAATTATGTTAATTATGGATATTTGATAATCATTCATAATGTTAAAAATATCAAATTCTTTCTCCACCACATGGCCTACAAATTGTTATTAGGGTTTCACACTGCACAGCTTGTGTGAAACACTATTGTTTTTGTTAAGATTATTCTTATTATTATTCTTATTATTATTATTTTTCTTATTCCATTTTGATTGTATCTCAGAAACTACTTGTCGGATTGATTTGATGTCTTCGGTTTTACTGGGAAAGTGGGTGTGACATAGAGATTAAAGCTATTTCGAACGTTCTGCGATAATGCGAAATGTCCGAAATCGTCGATTTTTGAAATATTGCCGTAATATTAACAATAATCGTCGCATTTTAATATTGGATACATTTTGACATAGCCAGAGACAAGGCACATAGCTACGGTTCTTTAAATTTTTGATTTTCGACGAATCGTCGGAGATATTAGGCGCCAAATTTTGAAAATTTAAATTTTTACAAAAAACTTTTTTATTAATGAATATTTTTATGTGGTATTTTACCCAGGGTTAAAGAGTCATCTGATTTGACCAAAAATGGCACCATTTTTTGTCACCGTAATTTTCCTTGGCCCCCATTGGCTAATTCAGTTTTTCAGTCCTGGATCAATTATTTAATACTCGATTTGTATCAAACAAAGATCATTAGCTCCGTGGTCCAAAATGTCATTTTTTTTGTTACCGGTAAAGTTACCTTTCGGCAACGGAAGTGACGTAAATTTAACAAAAACTACAATTTTGACAGTTCAGTACCACTTTTTGAAAGCAAATATTATTTTTTTCAAATCTGGTATGACTGAAAGTGTGTGCCCTGTAAAGGCGCAGAAAACATCGGGCTCAGTTTTTTTAATTTCGATTTCGTTTTCGGGTCATTTTGATTTATATGTGAAAAAAGGTGAAAAAATGAGCTATTTACAACCAATTCAGGCTTTTCATATTTTAAAATATTTCTTCTATAAACTTTTATAAACTTGTAGCAATAATCCATACGAAGAGAATGTATGTGAAAATTAGTTTGTAATATGAGCAGTTGCCGAGAAATGGGCAATTTTGCATGAGTCACGATTTACGCTAGTTTGCCGGTAAAAGAGTCAATTATTATTGGATTTTCATAAAAGCGACTCGATTTGATGCATAATGTCAATTTTAACTAGGTTAAACCAATTTAACATTTTCAATATCACCGGAAATGACGTAATTTGGGCAAAAACTATATTTATAGCTTTCGAAACAAATAATTTATTCAAGTCGTATTTGTTATATGTTTAAAATTTGGATATTTGATTCCAATCAACTAATAGAATGAACCCATAATCATATAGATATCACAAAATGGTTTCTAACTTGTTCAGTTACGGAGAAATAGGCGATTTTCAACAGGTCACTTTTCAAGGTTTTTGGTCCATAAAAGTGTCAATAATTATTCAATTTTCATAAAATTTTCACTGTGTGATACCTAATGCCATCTACGATTTCATACAAGTAATTTATGATTTTCATTATCACCGGAAGTAACGTCATTTTGGCAAAAACTGTATTTTTGACTTCAAAACAGATATTTTATTCAAATGAGTCTTATTTGTAATGTTTTTAAAATTATGATATTTGATTCCAATCAACAAATAGATTGAACCCATACGATCATACAGATACCAGAAAATGGTTTCTAACTTGTACGGTTGCAGAAAAATAGACGATTTTCTACAAGTCACTTTTCAACGTTTTTGGTCTATAAAAGTGGCAATTATTATTTGATTTACATAAAACGTTCACCATGTGATGCCTTTTGCCATTTCTAATTTCATAAAACTAATTGAACATTTCCATTATCACCGGAAGTACTGTACACTTACATGTATAAAATGAATTTATATTGCTGGATTTGGTTGATTCGGGCTCCATTTTATTTGATGTGTGCAATGCTTATGTGGAAACCTGTTTAATGGTTTCGTTGGTACCAGAAGTGACATATGTTTAGGGTAACGTGGCACCGGTGAAACCCGTCATTACTGCTTCGCAGTTCTAGTTCTGCTTGTATTTGCAAACTAAACCAGATGATTTTTTATCTATAAAGTTTTTATTTCAGATTGGATTGGTTTGTTATTAGGACTATGTATTGCTACCCAAAATAATATTGGAATACTGCCAAACATACTGAGAGAAATATTGCATGAAATATACTGCAAAATCAGTTTTCAAGAGAAAACCCCAAACTTTCATTGATCCATTAGGACTATCTATTGCTACCCAAAATAATATTGGAATACTGGCAAACATACTGAGAGACATATTGCATGAAATATATTGCAAATTCAGTTTTCAAGAGAAAACCCCCAAACTTTCATTGATCAGGCCTCAACAGAAACAATATTGCATATATTTGTGGAATGTTTCTAATGAAATTTTGATATTAGTAGATCTGATAAAACTGCAGTACAAAAAAATAACTGTCTGAAGTCACCAGTAATTTACATGAGCTCTTGCTGTGATATTGATTACAGTACTTGAATTTTAATGTATTAAATGATAACCAGCGGCTGCCAGGCAGGATACGCCCACATTTTCGAGACATGGATAGAGAACAAGCTAAAAAGAAAGTGATTTTTCCTACAATCAAGGGCCATAATTCAAGAAATAACAATTCGATATGCGCAAATATCGAAAGGAGTCAATTATCTTTGGGTTATAAACTTACATTTCAAGTTTCATCAAAATAGGATTAAAATTGTGACCTCTATAGGGTCCACAACCTTGATATACCATATTTTTACGCTATTTGAGTACGAGGGGCGGCCATTTTGTCTGTCAGCTTTGGTCCGATATTTACGAAATTCGAACTCAACTATCCTTAGGGTGTAATGGTGATATATTCGAACGTTTTTTTTAAATCGGATAAAAATTATGACCTCTATAGGGTCCACAAGCTAAAAACGCGATTTTTCGTACAATCAGGGGCCATATTTCAGGAAGTTAAGGTCAGATATGCGCGAATATCGAAAGGAAACGAGATCTTTGGGTTATAAACTTACATTTCCAATTTCAACAAAATCAGATAACCAGCGGCTGCCAGGCAGGATACGCCCACATTTTTGAGAGATGGAGAGAGAACAAGCTAAAAAGAAAGTGATTTTTCCTACAATCAAGGGCCATAATTCAGGAAATTACAATTCGATGTGCGCAAATATCGAAAGGAACCGAGATCTATGTGTTATAAACTTACATTTCAAGTTTCATCAAAATCGGATAAAAATTGTGACCTCCATAGGATCCACAAACTTGATATACCATATTTTTACGCTATTTGAGAACGAAGGGCGTCCATTTTGTCTGTCAAGTTTTGGGCCGATTTTCATGAAATTCGAACTAGCAGTCCTTATGGTGTCTTTAGGGTGTAACGGTGATATAATAATACGTTTTTTAAATCGGATAAAAATTATGACCTCTATAGGGTCCACAAGCTAAAAACGCGATTTTTCGTACGGCCCGATAAGCGAATATCGAAAGAAACCGAGATCTTTGGGTTATAAACTTACATTTCAAGTTTCAACAAAATCAGATAAAAACTGTGACCTCTATAGGGTCCACAACCTTCATATACCATATTTTTACGCTATTTGAGAACGAACAGCGGCCATTTTATCTGTCAATTTTGGGCCGATTTTCACGAAATTCGACCTCAGCTGTCTTTAGGGTGTAACGGTGATATAATAATACGGTTTTTAAAATCGGATAAAAATTATGACCTCTATAGGGTCCACAAGCTAAAAACGTGATTTTTAGTACAATCAGGGGCCATAATTCAGGAATTTACCGTCCGATATGCGCGAATATTGAAAGGAACCAAGATCTTTGGGTTATAAATTTACATTTCAAGTTTCAACAATATCGGATTAAAATTGTGACCTCCATAGGGTCCACAACCTTGATATACTAAATTGTATATTGTGACCTCTAGAGTGTCCACAAGCTAAAAACACGATTTTTCGTACAATCAGGGTCCGATACATGCCAATATCGAAAGGAACCTAGATCTTAGGGAGATAAAGCTATAAAAATTGTTACCTCTATAGGGTCCACAAGCTAAAAACGTGATTTTTCGTACAAACTGGGGCCATAATCCATGAAGTTTTGATCCGATACATGCCAATATCGAAAGCAGCCGAGATCTTTTGGAGATAAACCTATATTTCAAGTTTCGTCAAAATCGGATAAGAATTGTGACCTGTAGAGTGTCCACAAACAAATTGTGGACGGACGGACGACGACAATATTCGTCCACATGAAAATGTGGGCGTATAAAAAGTGTGTTTTCATACAAAAGTCTCTTTGTAAACAATGAGAACAACTATCAAAAGTCTATTTGCAAACAAAATGAAAACAACTTATTGTGGAATATCTGTATTGCTGCTATATATAGATTTTCTTTGAAAGCCCTATTTATCATCTAAGAGATAAGGTGGCTATGAAGACCTGGTTATCCCGAATGTCAGTGACTAGTTTCGTTCGTATTGAACTCTTCAGACTGATTGGACTCACGTGTTGGGCGTTTTTATTTATATTATTCCGAAACCCCGGTGGGGTTTCTATGGTTACTAATTGGCGGGGTTTGCGAATTTGTTACCGGGGTTGTACAGAGGTTTGGCAAATTGGTGGGGTGGGGTGCCGAATTTGTTACCGGGGTCGCTAGGTCGCTTAACGAGGTTGTACTGATCATTTAGATTGAAGTGCTAGTGTCCATAATTTTGCTAACTAGGATGCCTTGGGTTGGTTTGTAAAATTGTTACTTGTCATAACAATGAAGAGTGAAGTTAACGGAGGCATATTGAAATTGGCTCTGTCGGTCTGTCTTTCTTTTGTCAGAGCATATCTCGTAAACCATTCAAAATAGCTTTATGGATCTAAAAAAGTATTTGTGCCCTTTGCCAATTTGAAATCTCTTGGATTTAAAAAATGTTATGACTTCCATGGAAACAATTGTGACTTAGCATTTGTTTTTCTTCAGTTAACTTTTTCTGTGTGCAGTATCTGAGAGAAATCATTGCATTTGGATTGTACAAATTCAATTCTTGGTTAGTACACAGATAGATCGTGAGCACAAAATCGAAATAGCGATATGTAATCCATGTAGATAGTAGTGTTCATTTTAAATAAATAAATGAAACATTCTAATTAACATGGGCATATGCCATGAAGTGTGCTATGAGTGAAATTTGCCGGGACAGTGCCATTTCCCCCTGCTCTTAAGACACTGTTCCTTGCCAGGCACTCTATCCTGCCCCACTGACAGGGAAAAATTTGGGGGAACTTTTTCAGCTAACACTGAGTCGGCACCTTACTCAATGAGCTACCTTGGCTCCCCATTTTATAGAAATGAAGTTCAAAATAATAGTTTACAAGATTTACTTACACCTCCCCCTCTTTTATTAGTTATAGCTATATGTACAAATAATGTACAGTTTAATATAATACTTCCAGTATTAGATAATAGACGGATATGACGATAACCTGAAACATAAATATAATAATCATTAGTTTTGGAATCTGTCAATGCCAGAAATGAAGCTATTAAAAAGATAAATTTATCAACTTTTAAAAGTCCAGACGGTGATAGGTAAATCTCCCGAGACGATAAATTAACATTTAATGGAAAGGACACAATTTTCCTAAAGTCACTTTTCTAGTAAATATTGCATATAGATTTAAAAAATTATATAGTGGATATTTTTCTCCTTTTTCCAATAAGGATTTTCAAGGGAGATATCAAAGTGGATATTGTTCTCCTTTTTCCAATAAGGGTTTTCAAGGGACATATCAAAGTGATATACAAGGTAATCATCCCAAATTTGATTTGAACGTACCAGTTTGCATACACTCAAAAGGTATGGTATATTGTCCAATAAACTCATCTCCTATATATTCATCATCTAACACAGCAAATCTTATTAGAGCCAGTTCTGGTAGGTTGATTTGAAACTCAAAACTTTCATCAAAAATAGGATTATAACCTGAAAAACATACCTTAAAATTATAAGACTTTCCATTCTAATATTTACATTCAATTCCCAATCCTGGGCCCTGTTTAACAAAAACTTAAACTAAAATCACTAAAATAGATTGTAACTAAAATCAAACTGTAATTAAAAATTGTATGCGTTTCACGAAGATCGATTGTAACTTAAAATGCAATTTTAATAGATTTTAGTTAAAATTGCTTGCGCTCGTGCAGTGCACAATTCCGGCAAGGGCACATTACCCCCCCCTCTCTCAGGGTATACATACAAGTTTCTAGAACACTCGATAACAAGGCCTTTCATTGAGTCTTTGGGTTGGATGACCGAATGGTTAAAGCGTGCGCGTTTGATCACAAACCCTGTCATTGAGTCAAGTGGCATGGTTCGCATTCCCGCTATTATATAACCCAGGCCATTGGCATTATTATCATTATTCCAAATATATCTATATGTCGCAATAGATCTCACAACGTAGCTCTAATCAATGTTTATTAATGTCGTGATTTTAAGTTAGGAGAGGGTGACGGCTGTCCTAAGTTAAAATTGATTTTAGTTAAAACTGATTTTAGTTAAAATTGTCCCTAAAATAGTTTTTTGAAACGCCACTATTTTATCTAAAATGCTTAAAATCGTTTTTTGAAACGCATCTATCTTAAGTTAGGATGGAATTTTAGTTTAAGACGATTTTAAGGAGATTCAAGTTTTTGTGAAACAGGGCCCAGGTATTTTGATGTTGATTATAGACAGACATTTATGACCCCCCACAGCATACTGAGTCACAATGAGGAAATTTTGAAAATTGAGTTATTGTTATTTTCACATTCTCCAACTCATTACCTTCAATTTGATGTATAGTTTGTTTGAATTGGACAAAAATTGACTGAACTGTGTCCATTAGAAGCTACTCAACTCACAAAAGTAAGTTTTGAGAAAAAGCAAGTCAAAGATTTGGTATGTTCCAAAACAAAATCCCATAGCAACCAGGCAATTTTTCTGCTGTTTTGTCGTTGAATATATCTTTCCATGGGTTTTCAGGGATGCTGAAGACGAAAATCGTAGTAAAAATTTGATCCGACTATTTCCGCAATTTATTTGCTATATTTTGTTGTTTAATATGTTTTTTATTTAGGATTTTAAGGGTGCTTACGACGAAAATCTTAATAAATGCACTCCTTTCGTAACGAAACATCCACAACACATACGGCATAATATTCACATGATAGTGTTATACTGAAGAACAATCTATACATTAGTATTACATTAGTAGTCTGTTGTGTATAATTAATTAGCACCTTAGTGCCAGCTAGTGGTCAGGAGATTAAGATTGTTGATTGGATAATCAAAGAAGCCGCCACAGCTGTAAGCGTTTTCATTAAACACGTGAATTAAAATAAGATTTTGCGTGTTCGATAGGTCTATTATTATTTTCAGGTACCGTGACGTTATCAAAATATAAGTCCGTATAGAAATGTCAATTTCATAGTCAAGAAATGCTTACGTTCACTTTCGTGCATTTTGGCTTTAATGTAAATATCAACATTATTCAGAGGATACTCAATGGCAGACTGAGAATCGTCGCATTTCGGCTCGTTGGTCGTTCTCATTTTTTCGACCCATTGTGAGAATTTTAAAGAATAATATCCCAGTTGCATTCCTTACTTTGCATGCCGTATGAAGAAGCGACGGTAAACGGAATTCAGCTATCAATAAAATGCTCTTCGAAAAGAAAATTATTGGCCAGAGGATACTCAATGGCAGACTGAGAATCGTCACATTTCGGCTCGTTGGTCGTTTTCATTTTTTCGACCCATTGTGAGAATTTTAAACAATAATATCCCAGATGCATTCCTTACTTTGCATGCCATATGAAGAAGCGACGGTAAACGGAATTCAGCTATCAATAAAATGCTCTTCGAAAAGAAAATTATTGGCCATTTTGTTTATTTCCATTTAAGGCCTATAGATTATTTTTTTAAAGATGATATGAGATATCAAATAATCACCACTTGGATTAATTATTCGGAGTAAATAATGAGTTGTCGACGGCTTTATCATTGACCCGTGACAGTTGATTAGTAATAGTATTACTCAATGACACACACCCGCTTGTCGATTAATTTACATTATCAGCCAAATATTTATGGATGATGTCTTGCACGCGGTGTCTGTGCCAATTAGCAAAGGAGTTGTGTGGACAGCATGGCAACAGGTGGAGTTTATTTATATTTTTGGAGGGTTTTAAAACTCGATTGTATCCGTTCAAAATCAATTCATCGAAAATATTTTTATCATATTTATAAACTAGAGATGCTCCGCTTTACAACGATGCCAATTGTTATGCAAGAGGAATGACCGGTCGTCCGGCTGCGAGCGAAGACAAATAACTAATTTCGAAGAGAATTTTAAGAAATAGGACAGATTAAAGAATACGGTACTCTTACAAAACGTTCAAATACAGGTGTTTTAAAATGTTTTATTGCTATATTGATCTTCTGTGTTTTAAAATGTTTTATTGCTATATTGATCTTCTGTGTCGATAGATAGTATATTTATAGACTCATTTTTGTGAAAATCTCAATTTCGTTCAAAATCAATTTTTTCACTTATTTTGTCTTTATCTCATTATTGATTCTCGCGCATTCCGACTCATTTAAATGCGGCCGGTCACATTTTAAATCATACCAACTTTTTTAATCACAATGTTTTGATGCTAAACTTATTTTAAATCAATAATAAATAAATCGAGGTGGATTTCATTTACATTTTATTATATATAGGTCTCATCCTCCAAATGTGTTAAACCACTTTAGAATGCATAAGGGTCTCATTGTACATGTAAACACTAGAAACTGAGCAAAATTTGTTGTCTGTAGATTGAAAATTGATTGAGATACAGGCATTTGAGTTTCATGAGTTACCGATGAGTTTTGGAAACAAAATATTTATCAATAATTTACTTTAGTTTCAGATATCTTAGTTTTACCTTTCTAGTCAAAATATACTGCTCACATTTGGTTGTCTTAAGAACTTTTTGTGCAGATTACGAATCTGCAATTAGACTACAGGTGAGTGTTAGGGTTCGCCTGCTATGTGGTCATAAAACCAAAACAAAAATTTGGTGTGATTGTATATTTTCTGGATTTTGTAGTGTTCCACAGGAGCTACAAAGTAATAGATATAGACCCAAATCTCCCTATCCAGAGATTGCCGGTAGTACTACATAAGAAACATATGAAAATGCACCGTCTTCACTAGATTCCCAGTCGATTGGCCTCGAATATGGTTTTAGACACAAATTTTTTAATATTGCCTCATATTTTTGAGCCGATAGAACCCGGTAGATGAGCACCTAAAAATCTGAAACTTTGTGTGAATATAGTTTGTACGAATGTCTCCCAACCTATGTTAAAGCCATTCATGTCCCATGCCGTCTAGATATTTTTTCGATTTTTTAAAATCTGTGTTTTGGGGCAATCTATGTCAATTATCATATTTTCGAGCCGATTGAACCCGGTAGATGAGCACCTAAAAATCTCAAAACTTGGTGGAATTATAATTTGAACTAAAGTCTCTAACATATGTCAATGTTAAAACCATTCTTGTCACATGCCATCTCAATATTTTTTCGAATTTTTCAAAATCTGTGCTTTGGGTCATTCCATGTCAATTATCACCCAAGGAATAAAACCATACCCCCTTCGTTTTTGCTGAAATTTGGTTTATATGTTTATTATGGCCGAAAAGGATGATATTCCTAATTTTAGCTTGATCCAACTAACAGTTCCTGAGATACAGTCCACCCAATTTGGGGGATTTCAGCCAAAATGGGCATGGCCGCCATTACTCAAATGACTTTAACCCAGTAACCAATATGTCAAAATTGCTGGAATAAGTATTTCTGGAATGGAAATTCCACAAGGATTCCAAATCTACACTTATATTTGACATCCAAGCGTGTTTTAAAGAGTGAAGATCTTTAGACTTTGAATTTGACCTTGTAGACAATGTGACCTTGAGATGAACTTTCATGAAAAATTTAGCTAAACATGTTTTCTACACAATGTCAAACAATTGGAGGTACAATATCTTTTATAAACATGCAAAATCAACTTATATATTCACACTTGAGGTTGAAAATCGTGGATAAGCTCTGATGATACATAGTAACCTGCCGCAAACTTTCAAACATTAATAACTATAATTCAAACAGCAAGACATCCTCTTTCCCATCCCAGAAATACTTATTCCAGCAATTTTGACTGGTAACTGGGTTATGGTCTTTCGAATAATAGCAGCCACGCCCATTTTGACCGCAATCCCCAAAATTGGGTGGACCATATCTCAGGAACGATCAGTCGGATCAATCTAAAATTTGGAATATTAGGGCTTACCTAATAAACATATAAACCATATTTCAGCAAAATCAAAGTAGGTACGGTTTAAAGATACATTATGGAAGATTAGATAAAGATCTGGCAGTTCTCACTATAATAGTTAACCAGCGGCTGCCAGGCAGGATACGCCCACATTTTGCAAGAGATAGATAGTCTGGATAGAGAACAAGCTTAAAACAAAAACGATTTTTTGAACAATCAGGGGCCATAATTCAGAAAGTTATGGTCTGACATGCACAAATATCAAAAGGGACTCAGATTTTTGAAATACAAAGATATGTTTTAAGTTTGATCAAAATCGGATAAAAATTGTGACCTAGAGGGTCCTTAACAGGGATGGGATTTCACCCGTATATTCCGGACTTGTCCGACGCTATTTTCCAATTGTCCAAAATTGTCCGACAGGGAATATGCCCAATCGGACATCAAGACATGGTGAATAATATTCAAAATTCCAAAATTAATATAGTCTACTGAGTGTATAACTAACACTCAACCCGATTATCGTTGATAATACGCTGGATTGAATAGGTAATTAAGTGATCAAAATATTCATCATGTTGTACCGCCAAATACCTACCTTGATTAACTAGTTTATCT